CCAATCTCCACCCTCATCATTCCCTGGGGATCCAAGACTAAATCTTTACTGGAATAGAAAGCCTCGTCTTTTTTCAGAGCAGCTGGTGGCCAGACTACTGACCTTGAGGTTAGCACAACACTAGGCCACCAGGGCCGTCCGATCTACTGGAGTCCTGCAAATAGATGGGGTGGTGTTAACATTTTGAGGAGTACATAGCCTTTTGCCCTCCAATTATATACTAACTAATATGTACCTAGAAGTATGCTCATATAAAGTATAAAGGAAATTACCCGAAGACTAGTTTGAATGGTCAGGGTTGTGTATGATGTGATGGATTTGGTCATTGTGCTAAATGGATTGTTTTTCTAGCTTATTTCCGTAAATGGCTGCAAATGAAAGGCTGTCAGCTAGTCGTAGTTTTTACTGTAACTACCTGTATTCCCCCATACTTGAGGAGTTGATGCAGGCCATTTGATACTACAAATGTGTTCTTCACCCTACATAGTCATTTTCAACTAGGTATGGGCTGGAGAAAATAGCTTGAGAACTAATTGCCTGGGGTTTGTTGTTGCACTTTCGATTGCACAGAGCTGCAATATTGTATGAACGACAGATGAATCTGAACCCAGGTCAGCAACGGTGGCCGGCAACCTTGCTATGAGTGAGATGCCCACTGACTTAACTGTTGCTGAAGCCAAGTCCCCCGTCCAGAGAGGGGCGGGGCGGGGCCTGTGGCCCCCGGAAACGCCCGGTTGCCCCGCCTTCCCACTTCCCGGACGCGGTTGCTAGGCTACCAGGCCGTCGCGGTTAGAGCAGTGGCCGGTGAGCTGGGTCTTGCTCCTGGACGTGGGGCAGGGGGCTGTTCCTACCTCTGCGTGCTACCCAGGGCCCTAGCACCGTTAGCTCAGTCCCGGGAAATCTCGCCCCCATCATTGGCCATCTACCCCGCGGTCCGGACCGCTGAACCCGAATCCCGCGTCAGGAGCTGTCCTCCGGACCCCGACCCTCTCTGACAGTCTCTCCAGAGACCCTGCACTCCCCCATTTCTGGAGTCCGAGGGGTGGCCTGTTCGTCGGGGAGAAGGGAGCATGGGGTTCCGGGCGCCCCCGGAAGAGGAGGTGGGAAGACAAACCGCCTTCCGGAGCGCAGGTGCGCTCGGGCCTGCCTGCCGCTGCGGAGCCAGGGGCAGGTGGGCGCGCGTTCAGATGGCCCCTTTTGATGTTGCAGCTTAATCCTTTGTGACCGGCTGCTGGAAATTGGGGCTCGGGTGCGGCGGATGCCGATGTCGCTGCGTGCGCTTGAGCAGATCATGCAGAAATAACATGTTCCCAGCCTTGGAAAGCGAGCTCAAGCAGGAGGTCGGTCCATACCCCTCCGGGGACCACCCCTCTCCTGCTCCCCACCCCCACCCCGAAATCCAGAGGGTGATCTTGGTGGCGCCACAGATTCCCCAGGATAGAATGCTTTGCATGTATATTCCGAAGGGAAAAAAAAAAAAGGAATTTTTTCTGTGAACTTTTTTGGAGCTCCCCCCTGCCCCGCATCTTTCATTTGGTTTGTTTTCAGAAACTGTGGGGCCTCCTATTGTTGCAGCAGTCCTGGGGTGCCCTTTAAAAGGCTTCGCCTGACCCAGTTGGCTTTCTCTTTCGCAGACCCTTCCTGGCCCCTATGAAAATTTTATGTTCCACCACCTCCAGTACTACGGCTACTTTAAAGGTAACAGCAGCACCTGCCCCAACTCGGGGAGGGGATGGTCTCCTTTACCTAATTGATTGGTGCTAGGAGAGCCCAAAGCCAGACCACATCTCCAGTCGATACTCATCTCCGCCTTCTAGGACAGAGGGCATTACTCCTGGGGTTTCTGAGGCTGTACCTCTTATGGGAGCAAATCACCTCCCCTTTCATTTCCCCACCCCACAACTGGTCTTGCAGTTAGCAACCCAGTATTTAATCCAAGCCACCAAGAGATAATGCAACTCAGCTTCTTGGTCAAAACTGAGTTGAATTTAGTTTGCTGTTAACCCTATTTACTATTGCTAATCCTCAACTTTAGAGCCCAGTGGTGGCACATGGGCCTGCTAACCACAAGGCCAGTAGTTAGAAACACCAACCATTTCTCGGGAGAGCGGTAGGTTTTCTACTCCCATAGAGAGTCTCAAAAAGCCACGGGGCAGCTCTCTGCCCTGTAGGGACACTAGGAGTCAGAATTGACTTGATGGCAGAGTAGTGGTTGCTGAATACTTGACCATAGAAAAGAAATGCTGACTCAGTGACCTGATGTAGGGGTTCTGAAGCGGCTGTAAATGTTTAAGGGAGCAAACAGCCTGAGGAGCCACTGGTGGATTTAAAGTACAGACCCGTTAGCAGTCCCAGCACACCCCAGAGAGCCTCCATTATGAACCAAAGTATTCCTTTTTTGTTTGATTTTTTTTTTTAAAGTACCGGTATTACTAAAAAAAAAACAAAAACCGTTGCCGCCTTATCCATTGCTGCTCAAGTCTCTTCCCACCTGTGACAGGGATAACCAGACGTAACTCCCTTGGATTGACGTGTGAAAACCGGTTGAGAAGGGGGACAGTGGTGGGTGGTGGGTGTAGTGAGGGACATTGACCTAGATGTTGATGGTAAACAAGTCTTCCCGCAACTGAATTGAATCGCCTATTCTTAGCTCAGAGGGGCAGTGTACAGAACTCAAGCTCGGCCACACACCATGTCTGGAAGAGCGGCTCTCGCTTCCTGTTGAATGGCTCCTTTGGGGAAAGAGATGATTTGGTTCCGGAGACCCTGCCAAAAGAGAAACTCTTATGTGAGTAGCAATCTGCGTGTGTGAGTGTGAGGACCACCCCCCACCCCCGCCCAAAATCCTCACTGTGCCACAGCAGTACAAGCAACTCCACTGTCTTCATTAGTGTTAGGCAGAGTTCAATTGAAAATTTGTTCTTGTGGTTTTTGTTCCTTTTTTAAGTAAAGCAAATTAGATTTATTCAGGATTCAACACAGTTTAAACCAGTAATCCTACAGATCCTAAAATTGAAGCCATGATATCAAAAGATAAAGTGTCTGGGGTCTTAAAGGCTCTAAATCAAACAAGCAGAGAAGCAACAAGCCCACATGGAAGAAGCACCCCAGCTTGTGCCATCATGAGGTGTCTCCAGGACCGGGTAGCAGGCATCAGAAGACCAAAAACAAAAAAACAAAACACGTAATTGAGCAGAGACTCCAAACCCATCTGTAGACAATGGGAAGAGACGAGTCAATCAGGGTTCAGTAAAGCACTAATGAAACACATGCTACTCTGGTTCCTCGAGGCGTCCTCACCCCCCACTATCAGGACCCCAGTCCTGCCTTTCACTGCAGGCTAGACCGAAGCATGTGCACAGGTACAGATGAGGCATAAGAACTCACAACACATGGAATCCAGGAACAGAAATGGGAGTGGTGATTCCAGGAGGGGAGTCACGAGGGGTCATGCGGGGTGGGAGCGGGGGCGGTGTCTTGTGGTTATTTTTATCATTGGAGCGTGGGAGATAGATAGATATTTTTAAATAGCAAAAAATTTGTTAAATATTTTACCAGAAAAGCACAAAGTAGATTGGGCTTATGCTCTATTTGGTTTTTGTTTTTTAAAGAAAATTCAAATGGTTAAAAAGCACACACACAACATGAAAATGAAAGGCTCCCGTCTGCTCCACCTTAAATATAATACCTTTCAAGAAAGAGAGAGAGAGAGAACCTCTCTTGCTTTGGCTCTCTTTAATGACTGGCAGAGGGTCTGAAGCCTGGTGTGGGCTGATCTTTTTCGCTTAGGACCTTCGAGATCCTTTCCCATAAGCACAGAAAACTGGCCTCCTTTCTAAAGGTACCTTTGTCATGCTGTCTCATTAACAGATCATAATGACTTGACTCCCCTACTGAAAACTGCTTCCACTTTGCTGGTGGCTCTGCTTCCCTGTTATTTTGAATGCAGTAAATGCTGTAAAGAACATTTTTATACAGGTATCTTGACTTGGCCCCCTTTTGAAAAACCCAAGGTCATTTCTTAGTGATGGGATTGCTGGAGCAAAGGCCCTGCATAATTTAAAGTGAAATAACAGGAGACTGGCCACACGTTTCGCTGTAGCCATCAGGTTCCGAGAGTACCCGTGTGCTTAATACCTTCATCAGGATAAGTGTGAAAATAACTCAGTGGTTTTCCTGCCTATTAGGTGAAAAAAACCTTGCATTTGTTTGTTTTGATACCTTAAAAACCAAACTCACTGCCTTCAAGTCTATTCTGACTCACAGCGACCCGGCAGGACACAGGCGAGCTGCCCTGTGGGTTTCCAAGGCAGCACATCTTGGAGCAGAGAGCCTCCTTTTTCTCCCACAGAGCTGCTGCTGGGTTCCAACTTCTGGCCTCATGGCTAACAGCCCAAGGCCTTTGGTACCCACGATGCCACCAGGGCTCCTTCCTTGTTTTGATTAAACATTCATTACTTAGGAGTGAGGTGAAGATTTAGATAGAAATGAGGGTGGGGAGGTCCAAATTGGGGGGTGGGAAGGAGTGGGGTGAAATGGGAAGAAAAAGCTCCCTGAGACAAAGGGTGCGTCTCATACCATGCACCCGCCTCCACCTGCTCCCCAGGGCTCACCTGCTGATCTTCACTTGAGCACAGGCAGCTAGAAGCTGCCAGCAGTGCATGTACTCCATACCCGAAAATCCAAACTTTCTTGGACTTCTGCCTTTGCCCCTCTCATCCTGCCCCCGTCCTCGAGCTGAATGTCACCACACGGTGCTAGGACCCACCTCTGCTGAGCAGCCAGGGGCTTGGAGCCTTCCCCCCACCCCTATCCCTGATTCCTTTCCTCTCTTTTCTTTATCGTGTCTCTGTCTCCATTTCCATCTCCCAGAAATCCTTTACCTCCCCCCTTTTCTCATTCTTCCTTTCCCAAGAGCAGCGCTACTTCCCAGTTAGCTGCCTCCCCTTCCCATCCTCTTTGTTTTTTGCCTCTCTGTCCTTTGAAAAGCTACACCTGGAAGTTCAGTTTGCAGATTGATCTTCAATGCCATTAAAACATTTTGTCATGCTTTTCTGAAACGTTTATTAATGGGTTCATTGAAAGTTCCCATTCTTGTATCCCAAAATACAAATAGTGAAACACTTAATGTGGCTAAACCATTGACTTATATGAGATATAAATGAAATGTCAATAAAACTGTTACACACACACACACAAAATACCTTTGTATCCATTTGTGGCACACCTTTGAAATACCAAGGATCTGTAGGGTCAGAACTGACTTGATGGAAGTGAGTTAACTTTAAAAGGCTCCCTCCAATTCTGATGCTTCATATTGACATACGTAATAGAGCATTCCCATTTCATAATTTAGAACATGTCATCCTGGATTAAATGTCTTTGTTAAAGGAGAATCCTATCCTAGGGTTGCCCATCTTCGCTCACGTTCGAGCCCAGCGTGTGATGTGTGTGCTTCCTTGTTACTCTTGAGCGGTGAGGTCCTCGTAGAGGAAAGGAAACGTTTCCCTCATTCCCTTCCTTTGACAGGTTCACTTATGCAGAATTCACCACTTCTTAAGAGCAGACAACTACTTTATGATGAGTTGAGTGACGTCAACCCACGCCTGCGAGAGCCCCGAGATCTCTTTGCACTCTTCTCTAGCAACAGGCCACTGCTGGTTCCACGATGGCCAATAGAATGTGAGGTCATCAAAGAAAACATTCATCATATTGGTAATGTGGCTTCTGGGAGGTGGTCTTGCTTCTCTGGCTCTACTACAGACCTAAGAGTTACCTGTCCTCCTTGCTAGACTAGAAAGTAGGACAGAGTGAGCATGCACTAGGTTGCCCTGAAATTATTATGCTCTTGGAACATGAGGTACATTCACCAAAATCAGGAGCGGTGGTTCTCAACCTGTGGGTTGCGACCCCTTCGGGGAGGGTTGTCCAACGACCCTTTCACAGGGGTCGCCCGATTCATAACAGTAGCAAAATTACAATGATGAAGTAGCAACAAAAATAATTTTATGGTTGGGGGGGTTCACCACAGCATGAGGAACTGTATGAAAGGGTCGCAGCATTAGGAAGGTCGAGAACCACTGTCCTAGAGAGACCAGTGTGTAAACTGGAATGTCCTTGAGTTGATTGGAATGTGCGGACACTTTCCTAGAGACCCAAATATGTACATCCTAACATCTGTTTTTTAGATTATTCCCACCTTAGTATTAATATGAATGGATGAACTTTCTAGGAGCCTCGGTAGAATTAATGACTGTATCTTGAGTTTACTGGCTTATTTTTATGGCAATAGTGGATACTATGACATTGCTGGTTATATCAGTGAGTTCCTGGTATAAGTACAATCTTCAGCATTCATTTCATGAAGCATTTACAGAAATGGGTTGCAATGAAAAAATGAGGACTTTCCTAACAGTAATTAGGATGTCTGCCCAACGCTGTAGGCAGTTCCCCATTCCTCCCCCCTCCCATTTTTGGTTTTCTGACTCGCAGTTTTTAGACATTTCATTATAATACTTTGTCTTTCAAGCTGTCCTTTGAAATTTTCTGTACAGCTGTCTGACTTCATTTCCTTCATTTTCCATAGCCACTCTGTGATTAAGACAAGTTTCAGAGTCTCTTCTGATAGCTACTTTGATCTTTTCTTTCCTTCCTGTCTTTTAAATGATCTTTTGCTTTCTTCATCATGTCTCCTGTCATTAGTGTCCAGTGCAGCAAATCTGTTTTTGAGATGTTTTCAAAGTTCGAGTGGGATAGAGTCAAGATCATGTTGTGGCTCTC